GGCCCCGCCGGAGCCCCCGAGCCCCCGAGTCCCCGGCCCGGCCCCGCCGGAGTCCCCGAGCCCCCGCCGGAGTCCCCCGAGTCCGGGACGGTATGGTAACCCTACCCAGCACTGACACATGTTTATAGTCAAATAAAGTAAACGTTTATTTAACAGAGCCTCGAGATACAAAGGGGGGGGGGGATAGCTCAGTGGTTTGAGCATTAGCCTGCTAAACCCAGGGTGGTGATTTCAATCCTTAAGGGGGCCATTTAGAGATCTGGGGCAAAAAAAAATCTGTCAGGGGGTACTTGGTCCTGCTGTGAAGGCAGGGGACTGGACTGGACTAGACTCAACTCAAGGACCCTTCCAGTTCTATGAGATAGGTATATTTCATATAAGTGATAGCAAGTAGAAATATTGGAAACAGATGGTTATGTCCATAACATGCATTCTAGACTTAATTAACAAAATACTCTGATGTCTTGTAGAGTATCGCTCACCCACAATCTTTACAGAATTTCACAGCCAGGCTGGCTGTGACCCTTTCATAAGACAAACACAGTTAGCTTGCTTCCTTGATGAAGGAGTCTCTGGGTTTCCTTATATACCCCAACAATCCTCTGTCTCTAGTCAGAAACAGGACACCCCCTGCTGTTTGTTGTATCCTGTGAATTTCCTCTCTGGTAGTTTTCATAATCTTTTCTTCTGCCTGGGGCTCAGTATGAAAACAGACCCAACATTACCATGAATTGCAGGCCTGACACACATATGACCAGTCAGGGAAATAGGCATCTGGTACCACTTGCCTGAAAGGAACATGTCTGAGTTATGTCACCTCCTGGTGACCTGCTTTAACTTTAAGACCGTAGGAACATAATTTTCAGTATAGATACTTAACTGCTTAAATATGATCTGTACACACATTTTGCAGTGATTGTGTTAACCAGTGGGCTAGTGGCTCTCGGTAGAGACCTCACATGGCCTCTTTGGTGAACTATTTTGCCTACATCTGACCCAGGAATTCCTGTAAAAAAAACCTATGCACTCCTGTGCCCTCTGCCAGCTGGCATACAGAGGTCTCTGGGTCACAAGTCTCTTCATTCAAAATCCTCATTTCAGATCCATTGACTGTATCATAAACTAAACACAACACAATAATTCCTCTAAAGGCTGCTTTTGACTGGCTTTTATTAAAACTTATCAGCTCATTGGAACTGCCCATTAACTGATAACAAATCTACATCACTATAAACCCTACTCACTGATCCAAAGTTAAGGACCCCTTGTGCCGTAAAGCTGGGGAACTTACTGTGTATTCAGTTTGGTTGTTGTAGGCTTTTTCGTTGATCAGAGGCTAGGATCCCTTCTGGGCTCTAGCAGTTTTCGTCCTTCAGTTGCTGTTTTCTAAGATCAGCTGCGCTCCTTTCTCTTCCCCAGTGTTATGTTACAGGATTTGCCTTTTGAGAGGCGGAGTCTGGCTTCCTGGATTTTCTTTCCAGGAAGTGGATTTTTTAGTGGAGATCAAAAGATTTTTTCAAAAACAAGGTTAGAATTCAGAGTACAAAGCTGGATGTGTGATCAACTTGGAAGCCTGAAGGCCAGGGCCGGCTCCAGGGTTTTGGCCGCCCCAAGCAGCCAAAAAAAAAAAAAAGCCGTGATCGCAATCGCGATCTGCGGCGGCAATTCGGCGGAAGGTCCTTCGCTCCGAGCCGGAGTGAGGGACCGACTGCCGAATTGCCGCCGAATAGCTGGATGTGCCGCCCCTCCCCAGAGTGACCACCCCAAGCACCTGCTTGACAAGCTGGTGCCTGGAGCCGGCCCTGCTGAAGGCAAAAGCTACCTGAGTGCAAAATCTACTGCTCAGAAAGGGATCCCAGCCTCCCATCAACTTATTAAAAGCCTACAACTAAACTGCTCCTCAGTTCTTCAGCTTCGCAATACAATGGGGATTCTGAACATTAACTCAGTGACTGGCAGTTAGTAACAAACTTTGTTCTCTATTAAAGGGATAATTTTGAAGGTGATCATTATACCATAGAATAAGAAGGAAAGTCTCAAGAATAGGATCGAAATGGACAATAGTTCAAAAAGAGAGACAAGGTGGGGGAGGTAATATATTTTATTGGACCAACTTCTTCTGTTAGTGAGAGAGACAAGCTTTCGAGATTATATAGAGCTCTTCTTCGGATCTCACCTTTCTGTAAGCTCAAAAGCTCATCTCTCTCACCAATAGAAGTTGGTCCAGTAGAAGATGTTATCTCACCGACCGTGCATCTCTAATACCCCGGGACCAACATGGCTACAACAACACTGCATACAAAAGTGGTTTCCAAAGGCACTTGGCAATTGTATAAGTTCGTATAACCAAGAGACATGATGAATATCTATTTTCAAAGTGGAGTTACTGTACTTTGTTAATGCTTGCATTGAGAGGGCAATGAGGAATTAGATTAATATTTAGCTTTTACTAAGTGCATCCACAGGTCTCAAAGTGCCTTACAAAAGAGGGTGAGTGGGTGGGATTTTCAAAAGTGCCTAAGAAGTACACGTCATATTGACGTTCAGCGGGACGTGCTCCTAAGTCACTTCAGTGCTTTTAATGATAAGCTCCAGCACTCTATTCTATTTGTATATAGGTATCTGAGCACCTTGCAGTAGTGCATTAAGCATCACCATCCCCATGGTACAGCAGGGAAAAACTGAGACAAAAGGTGGGATTTTGCAGCTGGGATGGGGAGGTGCCAAGGTAGCTTAAAACTGTTTCAGGAGCCATAGTGGCCCCTGGCGTAAGTCAGAGTAGCTCTAATTTATGGCAGCAGCACAAAAATCTCATCAACAGAACAGTTATGAGACTTGGCTAAGGTTACACAGCAGGTCATTGTCAGAGTGGAGGTCACTTTACTCCCAGTCCAGTGCTCTAGCCACTGGACCTCACTGCTGCCACGCATGTTCTTCTAATTATTAACCATTTTACTACATTGTGCGGAGCCTTTTTTAAAAATCAGCATCACATTAGCTATCCTGCAATCATCTGGTACACAGGCTGATTTAAGTAAACCATAGTTAGTAGTTCTGCAATTTATTTGAGTTCCTTCAGAACTCCTGGGTGAATGCCCTCTGGTCCTGGTGATTTATTACTGTTTAATTTATCAATTTGTTCTGAAACCTCTTCTACTGACACCTCAATCAACAGTTCCTCAGATTTGTCACCTAAAAAGAACGGCTCAGATGTGGGGATCTCCCCCTCATCCTCTTCAGTGAAAACCAATTCAAAAATTAATTTAGCTTCTCTGCCAGGGCCTTGTCATCTCTGAGTGCTCCTTTAGCAACACAATCATCCAGTGGATCCACTGACTGTTTGGCAGGATTTCTGCTTCTGATGTACTTTTTTTGCTGTTAGTTTTTGTGTACTTAGCTAGTTGCTCTTCAAATTCTTTCTTGGTCTGTTACATCATACATTTACACTTGACTTGCCTGAGTTTATGCTTCTTTCTAGTTTCCTCACTAGGACTTAACTTCCAATTTTTAAAGGATACCTTTTAGCCTCTAATCATCTCTTTTATTCAGCTGCTTACGCATGGTGGAATTTTTTGGGTCCTTTTACTGCCTCAATTATGGTGCTTTTACATAGTCTCCATGCAGTTTGCAGGCATTTCACTCTTGTAACGGTTCCTTTTAACTGCCGTCTAACTAGCTTCCTCATTGTTGTGTAGTTACCTGTTTTGAAGTTAAATGCTATTGTGGTGGGTTTCTTTGGCATTTCTCCCCCTCCAAGAATGTTAAATTTAATTACATCATTGTCGCTATTACTGAGATGTTCAGCTATATTTACCTCTTGGCCATATTCTGTGCTCCACTTAGGATTAAAATCAAGAATTACCTCTCCCCTTGAGGGTTCCAGGACAAGCTGAACCAAGACGCAGTCATTTAATGTGTCTAGAAATTTTACCTCTGCATCCGTTTTTGAGAGGACATGTACCCAGTCAATATGAGGACAATTGAAATCCCCCATTATTATTGGGTTTTCTGTCTTCATAGCCTCTCTAAACTCCTTCAAAGTCACCATCACCATCCTGGTCAGGTGGTCGGTATCATATTCCTACTGCTATACTCTGATTATTCAAAATGAAATTTCTATCCATAGCGATTCTATGGTTCAGTTTAATTCATTTTAGATTTTTACTTTACTTGACTATGCTGTCTTTCACATATAGTGCCACTCCCCCACCAGCTCCGTCATTCCTATATATTTTGTACCCTCGTATTATCGCAAATCCACTGATTATCCTCATTACACCAAGTTTTCATGATGCCTATTATATCAATATCCTCATTTAAGGCCAGGCACTCTAGTTCACCCATTCTAGTATTTAGACAGCTAGCATTTGTCTGATGAATCATAGGGAAGCCTTTTCTTCATATCTCCATTTGGCATTTGAATGTCGAGCCTTTCATCTGCTCTTTATAATGTGCATCAAATATCTCATTCTGAGCCACGGTGAAGTAATTCTTCCAGTCTCCTGACATCCCTGATGGGAAGAAAACAAAAGAAGGACTAGTTTATTCTCCCCTTCTGGGCTCCTGCCCCACTTCTGAGGTTCTGTTTCTGTTATCTTCTTTCCCAAAGATACTCCAAAACGCCCTAGCATAGCACTGTGGTCCTAGTGCTATTCAGACAGAATTCTAAGTCAGGTTTTTGGTGTTCTCTTTGCCTAGATGCTTAACAGGAACAAAGGAGAAAATGTAGCAGATCAAAAGGCTGCATGAGACTTTCAAGTTAAGCAAGTTAAGGTTAGAAGCAGCGGGAAACATTTATTTGAGGGGCCAGTCCTTTGAGGTTGATGGGGGTCACACAAACTTTACATTGTCCTCACTGCTGGGGACTGTGTGTGTGTCGTGAGCAGAGGGGTCCTACGGAACATCTCTTCACACCAGTCATGCATCTCAGGAGGTATGATTAATGCACGTACATTTTCCAAACTCCCGAGTGATCTTGGATGCTCAACTTGAGACACCTTTAAAGGGTCCCCAATTTTCAGAAAATGCTCAGTACCCGCCTTCGAAAACTCAAACCCTTAAAAGGGGTCTCAGGCTGGTCAGCCAAAAGTACCAGGAACTTTGGAAAACCTAGGCCAGTGTCTATTTTTCCTTCTCAAGAGAGAAGAGGATCTTTGTATCCAAACAATTGTTTTTAAGATGCATGCAAGAAACACCAACAGTAATTAGCACTGTTGAACTGTCAATGGATATTGTGTGCACTCCCAAATTGAGGACACTGACATCTGTGCTCTCTTCCTGCAGGCCACAGTCACATATTAACTAAGGTCCAGGAATGGCAAATCATTAATATTATTTGGATGGCACCTGAAGTCCCCCACTGGGGTACGTACCGTACGCTGACATAGTATGAGACAAACTGTGCCCGGAGGAGTTTATAGTGTAAACCAGGGGTAGGCAACCTATGGCACGCGTGCCAAAGGCGGCATATGAGCTGATTTTTCAGTGGCACTCACACTGCCTGGGTCCTGGCCACCGGTCCAGGGGGCTCTGCATTTTAATTTAATTTTAAATGAAGCTTCTTAAAAAATTTAAAAACGTTATTTACTTTCCATACAACAATAGTTTAGTTATATATTATAGACTTATAGAAAGAGACCTTCTGAAAACGTTAACATGTATGACTGGCACACGAAACCTTAAATTAGAGTGAATACATGAAGATTCGGCGCACCACTTCTGAAAGGTTGCTGATCCCTGGTGTAAACGAACAAGGGCACGTCCTTCTGGATATCCCCATTTTGCAGATGGCAAAAGTGAGGCACATGGAAATCAAGGCCCACCTCCTCAAAGATATTTAGGCTCCTAATATCCATTGATTTCAGGGCCTCAGCGACTTGCCCAATGCCACAAAGCGAGTCAATATCAGAGCAGGAAACAGAACCCAAATTTCCTGAAGCCCCAGTTAGTGCCAAAACCACAAGATCAGTCATGCTCTCCAGAGTGCTACACCAGGATCTGCATGCTAGAAACTAAACAGGAGAACCTTCCTTATGGTAATTTATCTGAGCTGGGCCTTCCATATGCAGCTCCATCATTAACGGGGCTTGGCTCACAGAGAAAAACACTGACCCTGGGAATTTCCCTTTCTGTGAAAGTGGAATCAGGAGCTAGTAAGAATTGTAGAAAAACTGTTCCTGCTGTTATCTTACTGGCCTTTTCTGTAAGCCTCTTACCTTTCCTCATGAATGGAGACACACTGTGGTCCATAGCCCAGGTTGGCATCATTTCATAGTTAGCAGTAGGATTCTTCTTCATCTCCTGGAAGGAGGTATGGTGGAGGATTTTATTCACCACTTCCTCCTTCAGGTCCTTTCCCAGAAACTGGAGCACCTTCTCTATTTCACGCTTTGGATCCTGCAGAGAGACAGGCAGACAGACTCTCAGGTAATGAGACATGATGAAGGATAATATGCTACTGAGTAGAAGTTTTCCTAGCCACTCCTGGACGTGTTGGTAGAATGTGACACATCTTTCTTGTATTCATTTGGGACCTAATGCAGAGACCAGTGGATTGTGAAGCAGGCCTCTGATGAGCAAAGAGCAGCTCTTTTAATGAGTGATGCATCATAATAACCAATGATTTCT